ACTTGCCAAGAGTGTTTTTGTTTTCGCTACAGGCTTATGTCACTCTTGTCTTCCTATAATAAACTTCTCTTAATACTACACCCTCGTGTGTCCGGTTTTGTCTGCAACTGAGTCTAGTCCTGTGCTTTGGGCAGTGCGACCATGACAAATGGACTCAAACCCAGGACCTTCTTACTGTGAGCCAAACCACATAAAATGAATGATGAAAAACCTTCTAGTGGAAGAAGATCAAATAAGGGGCATGCAAGAAATATCTGAAAAGGTTTTAGGACTTTTCTGAACTGTTTGCACTTAAAAAATATTCATACAAACTTAAAATTGGTGAAAAATATCATGAAATAAAACAACAAATGTCACGTGAATGATTATATTATTATGTAAAATTATGTCTTTGTAGCGTCACAGAAATGTAAGATTTTACAAACTGAAGCAGAAGTCGTTGTAATGTAAACTTGACTTCCTTTAATGATGCAGTTTCATAAGGCAAAATTAATAAAAACTAATAAATGAATAAACTAATAAATTCTTGTAAAAGGTGGATGTAGCAACCCATTAAAAGTACAAAATCCTGTCAGACAGCTTGCACACAGTGTGCAGTCAGAGGGCGTTGGTAAGTCTCCAGAAATGTGTCCTCCTCTTTGTGTGTGTGTGTTGGAGTGAATGAATATTTGACTTACCGAGGAGTGGAGAGACAGATGGGGTCTTCATCTTGTCTGGACGTCGACTAAACGTCTGGACGACAGCCCGAGACCATCTCCTTCATCACTTCCTCTGTAGCACACTTAGTGATTCGCTGGCTGAAAAAGTCGCCATGCTACTGTGATGAATTCACGGTGAGGGCGGAGCACCTTTAATGGGCTGCAGCCTGCAGTTTCTGTGAACAAAGACAGAACATCATCCGCCCCCAACACCTGCTGCAGATGCTGCAGCCATGTGCTCAGCTCAACATGTCGAGATTCCCAATTTCTGTACCTCTCAGGTGAATTTAAGAACCTTTCCACAGCTGCTGCTGTGTTATAGCATTAAATAAATAAAATGTAATTGAACTCAAGCTCACGTTAAAGATCAAATGAAACTTTATGTACCTGAAACATGAATCCTGCAGCAGTGAAAACTAGGGATGGGTATCGTTTAGGTTTTATCCGATACCGGTGCTAAACCGGTACTTTTGAAACGGTGCCGGTGCTTAAACGGTGCTGAACCGGTGCTTAAAGAATGGAGAACACAAAATTGGTCCAAAAACCTCATGTTCAGCTGGTTTTTTGTAAAAAGATAACAATGTTAGCCTTTTCTGCAGCTATGGGGCATATATGGCATCACTCTTGGCTGGAAGCTTAAACAATGGAAAAAACACAAACTTTGTCCAAAAACCTCTCATGTTTAACTGTTTTCCACTTTTTCTTTGGTCATTTTAGCCTTTTTGTCCAGGGTGAAGGGAGCATCTGCCATCAAACAAGAAGACAGCCGCATGTAGCTATGATGATGTTTGCTAGTTCACCTTACATGCATTAATGTAATAACGTGGTTAGCCTACTCAACGTAAATTACACACGAACAACATTAAGCTACTCACGCAGAGAAGAACGGCTGCTGCTGCATCATCATCCTCATCATTTCTGCTACACTGGCAGGGCTAGGAGCCAGGACTCTCCTCTTCGGGTTTTTGGGGGATGTTGCTAACTCCGGGTCGATAACAGGCACCACACCCACAGTAGATGTGCTCGGTGTGAGGTCTCGCAGCAAGCTATCAAATACGGCGCATTTCTCAAACAAAAAAAACAAACGCTATGCGTCGCCAGGTGTTTCATCAGATTTGAGGTGTTACCTCCTTTGACAGTATCACAGTATCAGCTTAAAGCACTTGTTGCTGCTGAGTTTGCATCTCTTGCTGTGAAGTACAGCCAGACTTTGACCGCTTCGCCTTGGACATTTTTAATCTGTAGCTCTGCTCTAACAGAACGTACGTACCTGGCCCCGCCTACTATCCTCGGAAACGTAAAATGATTGGCTAGAAGTGTATCACAGCTCAGGAAAAAAAAAAGCATCGAAATAAAGCACCGAAATGTGCGCTGCTTTTCGGTCTGGTTACTACCGTTTATGTCAGAACACACGGTACCCATCCCTAGTGAAAATTCAGAAGCTCTGCCTAATATATGATGATCAAACACAGACATATTGGGCAACAGATCATCAGGTTTGTCCCAGTACATATTTCTCTAGTTCTTAGTGATCCCTGTAAAAATTGGGATTTTTACAGTTTTTAATTAAATTCAGAAAGAAAGGAGCAGCTTTTGACTCATTTGATGACAAAACTTCAACACATCTGTGCTTGAAGCAACATGTAAGCAAACCATGTGTTTTGGACTGAACCTATTACTCATACAGAGGTCCGTTGGCTGAGTTGAGGAAAAAACTTTCAATAGGGTTTTTGACCTCAGCAAGGAAACCTGTCAGTTCATGGGCATCTATGATGCGGTGAAGCTGTCACAAATGCACCAGTGCAACTTGCCTCACTCTCCCTGTTGCCAAGTAATGTTGAACGAAGTCGGCTGACTCTCCTGATAAGCTGAGCGCACTGTGCACTGAGTTCGCGGCACTTTGGTGACTTTGAAGCACATAAAGAGAATTTCGAGCTGCTTCGCAACCCATTTACATGGAAACTGCACCTGTGCAGATTCAGATGCAGCTGCAGTGTAATGATGCACTCAGGGAAAGACACTGAATGGCCTGCACAGTTAATTAGCTGCACTCCTGCAGCAGCACCCAGCTCCGTCTGCATGCGGCTCCAACCTTGTGTTTGCTTTCATTTATTTTTCTGGGTTTTGGCAGCATGTTCATATTTCTAACTTGTGTAATTTTGACAGGATATATTTTTATGAAGAGCAAAATATTTAAAGTTAAAGTTTATTTTTTAAGTTTATTTAATCTGGAATAATATTCCTGTCTGTTTTTATTCATATTTATGTTTGAAGAACATTGTTTTAGTGTGTTCAATAAATGTTTATCTTGTTTGGCTCGAGACCTAAAGCGGGCCTTGAGTTTTGGCCCCCTTTTGACACCCCTGATGTGCATGGTCCCCCATTTGTTCAGGAAGCCAGAGTATGCAAGCCATCAGCTGTGGCCAACTTTCCAAAAGAGGTGTACCTTCTTTTAGTAGTTCAGAGTTTTATATGTGAATGTGCATTTATCTAACCAGTTAAAAGTGGTGGAAAGAAGCAGCTTGTTTTGCAGGCACTGAGCTAAGATGTGGCCATGAGCAATTATCAGGCGTTAGCCATCGTGTCTACAGCTGCCCACATTATTAGTGTGTATAAAAGTCCTATGTTTTTATTTAAATTCATGACCTGATGGCATTGTTTTTGTAAACTGTTCTTAAACCATGGTAAACAGTAAGTAGATTGAACTCAATTTTTATCAGCTTGTTATTAGATCTCATGTTAGGTAAGTTACCAGTACTTTTTATTCAAAGAGCTGATCAACTCAGTAAGCTGGAAGTTTTGACTATATGGTTTGAAAATGCCACGTCACCACCGTCCTCCTCCTCTCACAGATCAGTCCGCGTGTTCATGTTCATTTTTTTCTGGAATATGTTGAGCAAACCTGGAGAAGCTTCAGCTCCAGAGATCATTGTTTGTGATTCCCTGACTCTCTTATTCAAACAGATTTTGTGCCTTCTTAGCACCAGGTTTATGAACTTGTTAGCTAGCTAGTGTTAGACTGCCGTTGCTGCTGCCTCTGGGCTCATGTTACTTAAAAAGTAACCCACAGCTTTAATGTCAGGGTTCCCGGGTCGATGACCCTTTGTTTTCAGTTTTGGACTTTTGTCACTGTTTAGTTTTCATATTTCCTGATTTCCTGTGTCAATCCCCTGCCTATTTGCATTATGTTCTAGTCCCTGCGTATCATTAGTCAGATTTAGTTCAACTGTGTGACTCACCAGTCTCCTATCGTCTTTTTCCGTCAGTGCATTTAAGTCCTCAGTTTCCTCCAGTTCTTTGTCTTGTCATTGATGTAATGTTGTTACCGTGTTCTTAGTTCAGCCAGACTTCTCGTCAGTCAGTTATTCATCTCTCAATCTATTCATTCTGTTCCCTCCAATAAACAGCCCTGTCCTGCACTGTGAGTCCTGCGTTTGGGTCCACTTTCTTCCTCACCTCCACACAGCAACCTCTGACATTTAAAAACCTTATAAAAAATCTCTCTGTGAAATTTTCTGTTGATTGTTTGAAATAGAAAAGTGAACCGCTACTAGATAAGAACCAAGAGAAAACTTTTTCTGAAGGTGCAGCCATTGGGGGCGGGGCTTGTTTTCAGTCCACTTTTATAACATATGAACTGTATATTCTTAACCTCTGTATCTATTTTAATTCTTTGTGGTTTCTTTTGAACATCTGTGGCATCTATTAATGTTAAATTTAATCTTTCTTTACCAACATAAGCAAGCTGTTTTTACATTTAATGAACATGTCTGTTTTATAACAATAATAATGGATTGCATTAATATAACCCTCAAAGCGCTTTACAATGCCACTATTCATTCACTCTCACATTCATACACTGGTGGAGGCAGCTACACTTGCAGCCACAGCTGCCCTGGGGCAGACTGACAGAAGCGAGGCTGCCATATCACGCCATCGGCCCCTCTGGCCAGCACCAGTAGGCGGTAAGTGTCTTGCCCAAGGACACAACGACCGAGACAGACAGAGCAGGGGATCGAACCGGCGACCTGAAACACATATCTCTTTAAGCCTATACTGACAGTGCCTTTACCACACATTCAGACACAGTAATAGATGGTGTTTGTAGTACTATATGTGCTAGTCTAATTTGAGTGGATGAGGCCTACATTGACCTTCTGTGTTGTTATAATGGTTATAATGTTTACAAGGGTTATAATGGTTGAACAGCCATTAAGGATTAAATCAGCTTCTAAATAATTTTATGTTTTTTCTCCCTCTGTGTGCTTCTTACTGTCTGTGAGGCTCGGACCAGCACTCCACACATCACATCAAACTCTTACAAGTCTAGAAGAGCAGCTGTTGGACAGAAAGACATCAGCTGAGTGGGAAGGATTTTGGTTACAGTTTACTTCCCACAATATATTAGTAGCTGTCACATTTATGTTAATCAGGCTGAACTTTAATCATACTTTACATCAAACTGCTTTACTTGCTGTTTCCTTTATGCTTTAGTTTCCTGTCTTCTATTATTAGACCTGAGATGTGACTGCTCTGTGCTGTTGCTGATGACTCCAGTTAATCCTACAAGACATGCTGTGTAAGTAAATACAACGACAGTTTGGTCTGCATTCATTCAAAGATCATATCCCACAGACTTAGTTTAGAGGGTCCACACTGTCTGCACTGTATATAGTGAAGTCTGCAACTTTTTGAACAGTGAAATTTGTTTTGTGGCCAAATTATTCTGCAGATCATCAGAATGAAAGTTATTGGCCATGTTTGCAGAGCCCTTTTAAAAATATGCTTTCATGACATTATTGTGTATCGGCTGGCTATCCAGACTGACAAGTGGGACAGTGAATGTCACCTCTCCAGTGAGGAGGGAGTCTGAGATTGATGAGTCCTCCATCACAGGTGGTTGGTCAGTGAAGATGGTCACCTGCAGGTTGAAGGTCATTGCATCTCCAACCCACATCCACTGCCACTGTACTGAAGGGAAGGTAAAGACTTTCTTCTGCACTTACATGTGGATCACCTCGATCCATGACAGTCATTCAGGCAGTGATGCCTGGACTGGAAACCAGCATCCTTAAATTATTACAGCATAACAGCTTCAGTGTATGAATGTAAAACAAATGTGTTGTTTGATGTAGAGACTGCACTTGTGACAGAACAGTAAATACATTTTATTTTGATTACATAAGTAATGTAAGTACAAAACAAACTTGTGGTCGGCCTAAACTTATTTTCAGAATAATTAAATCTGAGACTTAGTTTCATTGTAAGATTATAACAGTGACGGCAGTATAATCGTTTGTTGTTCAGCAGAACAGTGTCCAGGATGTTGGCTGTTATATTGTTTTACATTTCAAAATAAAAGTTGGGCTGATTTAAACACCATTACAAGAAGTGTTGTTAATTATTCTATTTGAATCATATTTGAATACAGTGTTATATTAATATAAGTTACTGCAGGTTGTTTTTTTTAATTTAGTAGAACTTGAAATGTTTGTCAGTGTGTAAACAATCAGTATTGCACAGTCAGAAAGTCATTCATAGAACTGTATACGTGCAATGAGTAGGTTACCCTAACTTACTCATCTTAATTAAGCTTTACTCAATTTTTTGAGACAATGAGTTTGCATAGATTTTTTGAGTTCTGGGAACTAATTCGATTTTACAGTGTAAGTAAAAACTGTAGATTCTATTCATCCTGAATCATAATCTCACTCGACATGTTCTGCCAGTGTTCTTTGTTTTCAATTTTTAATTTGAATTTTAATTATGTTATTTAGAAAGAGGGACTATACATATTGATGAATATTTTAACAAATGTAAAGCCAAATGTAAATGCCAGATTATTTCCATCTGCAGACCCTCTGGCAGGTTGGTGCGCAAGTTAGTAAAAACACACAGAGACTCACATCATATCAGAACAAACAATGACAACAAGAGTGGACAACAGAGGACAATGTAAAACACAATTCAATCACATCAGTTATATTGCACAAACCCCAATATTGCACATGCCCTGACTGTCCTGATATTGCACTGACCCATTACACTAATAATTGTTTCCCTTTTTGTAATGCACTCTAGCAACCCACTTTTGCACCATCTTTGAAAAGACAGTGAGTATGGTTTAAAGTGGGGCACATTAGTGTTAAGGAGCAGCGCTGTACTCGAGATGTGGAGCATTAGCAGTTAGCATCCGACCATATTACCTGCCACGGGAGTTCTCGCAAGTCATCGTGACAACTGCCTACGATCCACCAGGGGCAGATGCGGCAGCAGCATGCGAGACAATTCACACAGTAGTGTCCAAGCTGCAGACATCACACCTCCAAGCCTTCCTTTTCATCTCTGGGGATTTTAATCATGCTTCCTTGTCCTCAACCCTCCCTACTGTCACTCAGTATGTGGAAAACAAAACACTGGACCTACACTAACTACCTGCATAAAAGACTATATCAACTTCTGTGTGGATAACACTGTACAGTCCAGAAGGAGCTTAGGGAGAGATAAGGAAGGGAAACGACAGGAGGAAACTGGAGGAGCAGCTCCAGCAGAGCAACACCAGAGGTGTGTGGAGAGGGCTGAAAACCATAACTGAATGAAGCACAGCGAGCAGAGGGGGTCCAGAGTCTGGAGAACAGGTTTGGGCTGATAGACTGAACCAGTTCTTTAACAGGTTTGACTCAGAAGCCCTTCCCTCCCCCAGTCACCAGAGCTCTTCACACCTCTCTGCTCGAAGGAGCAGGAGTGCACCATCAGTTATCTACATGGATTATCGACTACCTCACCAGGAGACCCCAGTATGTGAGGCTTCTTGACTGCGTTCTCTGTAGCACGGGGACCCCACAAGGAACAGTACTCGCTCCTTTCCTCTTTACCCTGTACACTGCAGACTTCAGTTATAACATGGACACTCACCAGCTCCAGAAGTTCTCAGACGACACCGTCATTGTGGGTCGAGTGTTGGAGGGAAACAAACTGGGATACATGGGGGTCATCAAAGACTTTGTAAGCTGGTGCGAAGCTTGCATCAATGCCAGCAAGACGAAGGAGCTGGTGATTAACTTCAGCAAGAAGCCACCCTCTATTACACCAGTGAACATCCAGGGTTTGGACACTGAAACGGTGGAGGAGTACAAATACCTGGGTCTTCACCTGAATAACAAACTGGACTGGTCCACAAACACAAATGCACTCTACAAAAAGGGTCTAAGTCGTCTCCACCTGCTACGGCGGCTGAGATCCTTCGGGGTGAACAGGACGCTCCAGGACATATTACGACACTGTAGTGATGTCTGGTATTTTCCATGCTGTGGTCTGCTGGAGTGGTGGAATGGCAGAGAGGGACCAGGGGAAACACAACAAACTGGTCAGGAGGGCCAGCTCGGTCCTGGACTGTCCGCTGAAGTCCATCGAGCAGGTTGGGGAGGAGAGGATGTTGTCTAAGCTAACATCCATCATGGACAACACCATTTTATACATAGTTCTGTACGTTTTATACATATACATGTTTCTGTACATTGTTACCTGTATATACCAACTTCAGTTGCTTATGCATGTAGGACCACTTTGTGTCTTCCTTTTCCACGTTTTTTTTTTTTACCATTCTGCCCGGATTGTTAGAAAACACCAGGGCTATTAGATTAAGATTAATTAAGCTTTTGCTTTACTCTACTTACAATGAAAATGTAAAAAGAAATCTTGTTCATGACCTGGGCTCTATGTAAACACTATTAGAAGTAAAAATAACTCCAATTTTGAAAACACACATGAAGTTCTAACATGTGTTGTGAACATGAGTTTGTGTGAAGCTCCTGCTGTGCACTGAGTGAGATTTTCTGACTGTGGCCTGGGAGAGAGTCCTGTAACTACTTGTCTGCAAAATACAGTGTATAATGACCGATGTTGGGCAAGTGACTTATGTTTTAATATTTAATTATAGTTACTAGTTACTTCTTCAACTCAAGTCAAGTCAGAAAATCCCAGGATCAAGTTGCAGAGGGAGTGTTCAGGCCAGCAGGTGCTGAGGAATGATTGTGTTGAACTGAAATCAGACACAGAACCTGGTCGTTGTGAGGGGGTGGACTTCCTCACCAGCAAATCATTCTGAGCATCACAATATGCAGTGAGAGCTGAAATGTCTGATCAGGAGTGGGAATTGCAAACTAAGAGTGTGAACAGACTTATCCTATACAACCACTCTGTTGTGGCTATTGATTAACTCTGTTGCTGTAAATACCATCCATCAAAGCACACATAAATAAAGATACCTCGCTCACAAAACCAAAAAATAATAAGACCATTTGCAAAATAAAAAGTGTTCAAAAGAAAAAATGTGCTATTGCATGCACGCTTTAGCAGACTCTTAACTTCTCCGCTTTGATTCTTGACAGAAACCAGAAGTAGAGCAGCTAAACATGACCCCCCCACCCCATAACTGCAAAAACAAATAACATTCATTAGAATAAGTCATCTAAAAGTGTATGTAAACAAAACAAAACCACATGAAATAATAATCATGACAGTTTAAATGTGTCTCAACAAACCCTAACCCTTTCTTCCTGGTTTCTTTTCTGAGTATGTTACTGTTACTTTGTGGTTTTATCTACAAACAGGGCTCTAGACTAACTTTTTGACATGGGCGCACCAGTACGCCTAACTTTAAAAATTTAGGCGCACTGGCAGAAAAGTTAGGCGCACTCAAATTTTTCAACCGCATCGCTTAACACCGCAGTTTTACATGTGCACTTTCTTTGGGGGAAAGTTGCAGTCCATACAGACAATATTCATTTCTAAATTATTAACTAACAAACTTGCGGCCGGCTCCTTAGAGCCTGCGCTGACCAGCTAGCACCGGTGTTCATGGAGATCTTCAACCTCTCCCTGGCCCAAGCTGTGGTTCCCACGTGCTTCAAACAGTCCATTACTGTTCCAAAGAAACAACAGCCCACTTGCCACAATGACTACCGTCCAGTAGCACTGACTTCAATTGTGATGAAGTGTTTTGAAAGACTGATGAGAGATCACATCACTTCTTCACTTCCTGCCACCATCGACTCACTTCAGTTTGCTTACCGGACTAATCGTTCCACAGACGATGCCATATCTCACCTGCTCCACACATCCCTGAGTCACCTGGACACTGACAGAGGGAATTATGTTAGGATGCTGTTCGTGGACTACAGTTCAGCATTCAACACAATAATTCCCTCTAAGCTTTTCACCAAGTTGACAGATCTAGGACTCAGCTCATCACTGTTTCAGTGGATCCTCAACTTCCTCACAGACAGACCCCAATCAGTGAGGGTGGGAAAACAAGTCTCCCCCTCCATCTCACTCAGCACTGGAGTGCCTCAGGGCTGTGTTTTAAGCCCCCTGCTGTACTCACTGTACACTTATGACTGTGTAGCCACATCCGACACCACCTCCATTGTCAAGTTTGCTGACGACACTGCTGTTGTGGGCCTGATCTCCGACAACATCGAGACGGCCTACCTGGAGGAGATTAGGAACCTGGAGACCTGGTGCCAGGAGAATAACCTCCTCCTAAACATCAGCAAGTCTAAGGAGCTGATCGTGGACTTCACTACAAAGCAGGCGAGGAATTACAAACCCCTCATCATCAGTGGCACGCCAGTGGAGAGAGTGGACAGTTTCCGATACCTGGGTGTCCACATCACTCAGGACCTGTCATGGTCCTGCCACATCAACAACCTGGTTAAGAAAGCCCGTCAGCGTCTCTTCTTCCTCAGAAGACTTAGAGACTTCCATCTGCCA